GGGAGGTTTGAGGGCCTGGAGATTGACTTAATCATCACTGGCCGAAGATTTAATCAGTCGTGCCTCCACAAAGAGTCCTCTATCGAAATTCAGGAGGGTGAGGACAGTTTCCAGGTTGGTGAGAGCGTGTGGCTGGTGTGCCCGGGAAGTATGTGGGAGCTCCATGCCCCTCTCTCTGGTCTGTCTCTATGGGTCTCTTCCTTTTAGGTCTTCCTGAGTTGTATCTTCTCTACACATGGGTAAATATGAGCATTTCCAGAAGTTCCCTAGCAATGGTCACACATGAGGAGGAGGCCATGGGAACTCCCAGCTTGCAGCCAGCATGTGCAGAGGGAGAGGTGGGGGTCCACTGCTTGTGATGGGGGCTGAGGTGGAGGGTCGTCTTGGGGCCTGAGCCCGTAACCTGCCGACTTTGCACGAATCCCAGGTGGTTAGTGGCATTACTGAGTTGTAAGTTCTCTAGATGGTGCGCGAGAGTTGGGAATTGGTTAATGTGGGGAAAACTTCCACCATTCTGTGTCAGACGTGAAGCTCCATACTGGGTGCTGTCAGGGGATTTAGACTGGAGAGAAACAGGAATTTGCCTTTTGAGAAAACAGGAGTTTCTATACTGGACTAAAATTAAAAAATGCTTTAAATCAAACACTTTAAAACTGGTAAATCTCAAAAGTCAAATGAATGACCAGAGTATTTCAACTCCTCAATTCTAATTGAGATTATACAAGACAGAAATAATAGTAATTTCACCAGATTTCCACTTATTAAAATGAAATATTTACATACAATATGTGATTATGTTTTCTTTCTCTCTAGGGCAGTAAGCATAGGAAAATGGAACTTAGTAAGCAACCTACACATGTACATAGGACTAATAAAAGCTGCCTACCACAGACGTGAGATGAGTTTTAATCCAGCACATAAAAGGAACTCTGCACTTTTTAGCTAAAAATACCCTGTAAATAATTACAGTTATAACTCTAGGTGATTATTTCATAATCTTGACAATATAGGAAAGTCTAATGTGTTAAAATGCGAGTTTTTAAATCAACAAAAGATTTTTTAAAAAATCAATTCAATTTTAGGGCTAAAATGAAAGTCTTGCCAAGAGCGGTGTAGCTGCCTAGCCTTCCGCCCACACGGGAACAGCACACGCCTCTCCAGTTACATGACTCACCTGCAGACACACAACAAGTGATCCGGGCCACTCTGGGGGAGTTAGAACATATTTTAAAGGACAATTGTAAGAAGTCACTTTTTCATTGCTAATTGAAAATTAGCACTGTGCAATTTGTACCAGGTTTGCATCGTGTTGCCCAAGACTGAGCAGTTTGAATCCCTCGGGAACACCGGCGTGAGCTACGTCAGGGCCCTCAGTTAGATGTATTGAGCACAAGCAAACATAGGCCCAGGTGCTGCGTTAGGTGTTGAGGTAAAAAGTGATCAGAAGGCACCAAGAGCAATGTGACCTTGGACCTGAGAGAGCCCCCAGTCTGGCTGTCTTGAACACACCACAACTAAAATGGAAGGGGAGCTGAAATTACTAGTGCCTGTGTATTCCTTTTACATGGAAGTCAGGGCGTCTTAGGCACTTTCTGAGACACATTACCTGACACCTGTGACTTAAAGATTTATTTCGGCTCACAGTTTTGGTCCACAGTTGGCCCGCAGGGAGGCATGTGGAAGGGTCTGGTGGAGAAGCACTGCTCACATCATGGTGCACAGGAAGCAGAGAGAGAGAGAGAGAGAGAGAGAGAGAGAGAGAGAGAGAGAGAGAGAGAGAGAGAGAGAGAGGGAGATAGAGGGAGAGGAGTAGCTGGGGAGAGGGTTGCCCCTTCCAGGCCACATCCCAGGGATACCTCTCCTTGGACCAGAACCCGTCTCCCAGGGGCAAGCTTGCCCATAATCCCATCATCTCCCAGACACATGGGCCCTTTAGACCTACACCGCAACACAGTGGTGTCTGCCAGGCATTTACAATAGCACAAAATTATTGATTTGCTTGGAATTTGTTAAATAAAACTGAATAAAATGCTATTTCTAAGGTTTAAGTATAAAAGTTAAATCTATAATAAATACCAATGGAACTTTTCAAAGTCTGTGATTGCCCAATGAATATTTATAATGAGGATTTTTGTGCTGGGCTTCTTGTTTTCACCTAAGCTATAGGTAGCTTCATGTTTGCTTCAGTGCTGCCTTTCCGTTTACTTCGACGTCCTTACCAGTTACGAATGCTTTAGCAGCATGCAGCTCTAAACAGAGACCACGTCTGAATACAAAAGACCTCATTTGTCTCAGGTGGGGAACTAATCCTACTACCAGCTTCACCGATGCAGTAATCCGAAGAATTGATTACTCAGGAACAAGTGTCCTTTCCTTAACCCCAGGAATTTTCTTTCTGATAATACTTCCAATTGAAAAAATATTGCAAATCCAAACCACTTTCCTTACTGAGTCATGCCAAGCCATGCACTATTGTTACACCCCATCTGGCATTGATGCTTTGCTGAACGTGGACTCCAATTGTTATGTGAATTGTGTTAGGTAGATATATTTTAAGGTGCTATCTATAGCGAGGATCTATCTTGCAAATGTCCTATAGATAACCCTTTCGATGACCACTAAAATGTAAATATTTGCAACTCATTGTACTAAACGTGCTTTCCCCATCCAAATGTTAAAAATTATTGGCATTCATTTGAAGAATTTGTTAAGCTTCTAAAATCTTGTACCAGCAAGTTAACTGGAGTATGCCTCAAAGCAGCTTCTGTTTATAGACAAAGTCTGTAAGATACCCAAATACCACTGTGATGTATTTACAGTTTATAAAATAATTACTATCAAGTCCTTTGTGGTGTGCCTTTCTAAATGAGCAGTAAGTGAACTAGGGGAAAAAGTGGAACGTTTTGGTACCTGGCACATGCCCACTGAACGACTAGACTACTTCTACCTTCCATTTTGCAGCCCACTTGTGGTGCCAGAGGGACTTTCCAATGGTCCCTATGGTCACGAGTGGGAAATAGTTTACTTCTCTAAATGAATTTCACCTGGAAATGTCAATTCTGCGCCATCAACTGTTTTGTCTTGGGCGTATGAGCTGGGAGGCTGAATGGCTGGCAGACGGGGTGTTGAACCGAGTTCCAGCTGACAGCCACTGCTTCCAGCTACACTTGCTTAAAAATTAACATCCAGTGTGTGGGTGAAACCTACCCAATACCTACCAAAGAGGTTAAACATCACCAATTATCATCCAAGACTTCTTTTCCTGGCAGGAAAATGAGTTGATCAGGGCGTTATGGTGATTTCTAAATAAATGCAAAAATTGATTGCACTGTATCTCCTGCCAAATTAAACCCACAAGCACCAGGGAGCTGCTTCGCAGGAACCATCCGTTTCAGGATTGTCAATCACAAAGGAGGGCTAACTTGTCCATAAAGCATAGGGTTTATTTCACTTATTTCTCAGGCCTTGTCTTCAGACCTTCCTACGAGATGGAGAACAGAAATGGTGTATTTTCTGACAGTCTAAAGGGCCTTGGGGTGTCAGTGTTGGTTTAGGATGCAGGAGGCCCTGGATTCTGTCCCAACCTCTTCCTGAAAAGAAATGCTTAAAGTACCACAAGCAGCTAAGTAGCTATTTAGGCTTTTCACCACTGCTTCAAAGCAGAAAAGGTAACTCAGAAGCACCAGGCTTGCATCACAGGCCTTGAAAGCAAGCATTAAAATCATGGACCATCAGTGCTCGGCAGCAAGGCAAGCCCCAATGGCCTGAGTGATTTATACCTACTGGGAAAGTTGCAGGGTGGCCTTACCAACTACAGTGAAACAGAGGACTCTGGCATAAAATTAGCTTGGAGTTAAAAGCTGATTTTGGAAAAGTCCACATGAAGGATTGCCAAGACATCCAGACCTGTTCCTGTCGTTACGGCGGACAATGCACTTTTTCCCACCATGCACATCTCTTTGGTGCCTCGTCTCCCGGCTTCTCTGCTCCTGTGTGTGACCCTCATCAATACCAATTTTGGGACTTTTTTCTTTTTTACAACAGAACTGTGGAAGGAATTCTGTGGCCAGAATCGTAGAATCAAGTTTGTTAACCAAGGCACACTGTGTATTAGAAAAGACAGAAGAATGATGGCAACAGGTGAAATGTAAATGTGATTAAGGTAAAAAGGCGAAGACAGAAAGGTAAAAAGTGTACATGGCAGTAATGTAAAAAAATGATAAAGGCATCACTGACTGCTCTGATGAAAGTGTGTTTGAGCTTGGATGGAAATTCGTGGACACTCAGTAGATGCAGTCATGGGGAAAGAACAGCTGTGTGAAGAGCCTTCTACCTCATACTTTCTCAATCAGATGTTAAACAAAAAAGCCCATTAAAGGGTCTTAAAGGTCACAATTCATTTCACAGGGCTGTTTGCTCTGGTGTGAAGGTTCCAATGCTAGACAAAATTAAAAGTTCATTCAAATATCTGTTGTATTCAGCAGAAAAGCCAAGACAAGGCAGCTGAACAAGGTTGTAGCTCCACGTAATTCCTATTGCAGCAGGAATGACTTAAAATATTTTCTCATTATTATTATTACGAAGCCTATGAATTATTTTCCAATTTGGTTCTGGTACCATATGTCTTGATCTAGTCTGAAATACAGATAATGTAGAAGTTATATATTATGTAGAATAGTAGCATATGTAAGGGTAGTAATGAGACAGGAAAATCAAACACTTTAAAATCTACATCTTTAATGTATCAAGTAGCAAGGAACAATATTAGCAACATTCATTACAGACATTTAAATAACATTTACAACTTTATGGACCATCTTTATCTACATTTTACATCAAAGGTATTTCTGGAAAACAAAGTCCATGAATGAGTAAAATAAAGCATGGAAATGTAACAGAATGTCTTGGACCATAATTTTACCATTTCTAAGTTTTTTTTTACTTTTTTTTTTTTTTTTTGGTACCAGGGATCAAACTTTGGACCTTGTGCTTGTGAGGCAGGCGATGGAACCACTGAGCTAAATCCCTGGCCCTAAGTTTTCTTTATTTAAAAACAAAATAAGGGTAACTCACTGCTGTTCTCTCATTCTCCTCGACTTGTCACAGCACCAACTTGTTATAAAAGTGAGCGGCCAGCATTGCTGAATAAGGAATTTTATTTCAGAAATGTAAAACATAAGCTTTTCTGTTGAGTTGAAATGTTATATTTACTTAAAGTACTAAAGAAGACAATTTCGTTTTCTGCTTGCCGAAGACATCTGGGTAAACAGCTCTACGGGGTCCTCTTTCAAGGGTTTTAAACACTCTTCTGGGAGGACACTAACAAACCCCTTTCAGAGGCAGACTTAGTCAGTTTCGTCATCCTTGACTTTGAAGTGACTTATCTTAGATTTCCTTTTGAAATGTTTTTTCCAAATTTTCTAACCATGTTTGAGTTTATTTTATGGATGTGATTTTTGTGCCCTAGAGAAAAAAGATACAGAAATGTAGTACAAGTACAGAAATGAGTCTTCACCATTCAATCAACTTAAAATTTATTGAAAATTATAACCAAAGGGTAGAAAGCTTATTCTTGAACCAGAATCTAAAATACAACAAAGACACATTATATCTTGAGCTTAAAAGCTGATTGCCAAATTCCATGACAGGTGCACACACACAGGTATCAGGTGAAGTCCTGAATAAATGCTACACTCTACATGACTCTTCCCTTCTTTCTTGCACCATTATTTTTTTCATTGTTTGGATTCTTTCCCCTGGGCTTTCAAACTTTGATGATGATTTCAGACCCAACCAAGTACTGCCATGACCTCTCTGCTTATGCATTTTCGTGGTCACTTTAGTTTTGGAAGCTCATAGGGTCTGGACCCTATTTCTTATTTCTGTAACTGCTCAGTTAACAGTAGTGCTTCTTTCTCACAGAGGCCCTTTACTTTTCATTAAAGATTTAGGTGAGCTGGGCATGATGGTGCTTGCTTGTAATCCCAGCATGATGGGAGGCTGGGGCAGGAAGACTGTAAGTTCAAGTGCAGACTGGGCAACTTACAACTTCCAGAGAGCTGTCTCAAAAAAGGGCTGAGCTATATGTCAGTGTGAAGGCCTTGGATAAATGTTGATATCACAAAAAAGAACTGAGGAGAACACATTGTAAAGAGGAAGGGAGTATAATTTTTACTTTTCTAGTAATATCAGATATGTATTTAGGTATTTTAAAATTGGATATTATAATGTATATAAAACATCATCTTTTTTTAATACCTCCCTTCTAAGTGCTCCCTTATTCTTAAAGAAAAACCAAAACCTATTGTTAGCTTTTTTCTTCTTTGGCAAGAACTATAATTTAGTATTATCTGCCACTTATTTTTCCATAGCATTTTTTTTTCTATCTTTGCTTTTAAAAAAATGAAGTATTTTATATCTTTCTTAGACAACAGAAAACAAAATTTCTACGATCTGAGAATTATCATAAGGTTATTGTTTAGCTAAACAATTATAACATCTTGAAAAATTTTCAAAGGAGACGAACAGGGCTCCTTTACACCAACTACAGATACATACTGCTAAGCAATACGGAACACAAATAACCAAATAACCAGTTTTACATGTTAGTACCTGATTATTTGATTGTTAAATGTGAATAAAAGGTGTTTACATTCAAGGTAAGGTAATCAACTTCCACTAAAGGAAGTAAAGAGCAACACAGTTTGGCAAAGTTGTAAGAAATTGTATGCAATTCAAACAGAGCACTGCCAAAAAAGAAAAAGGTTTTCATACTATTCATGGAAGCACTCAATCTCTTGAGACCTCTTTATATACTAAGTGCTACAAGTTCCTTTTGAGAAGAAACCAAGTTGGATCTTACAGTGTTTGTCTTTGTGTTCGCTACAAGACCTAGAGCAAGGTGAACGCTTAGTGAGCAGGTACTTTCTGAACACAGCCTTCGGAACTGTACCGTCACAGAGACAGAAGTTTGGACATTGTGCCCTAGAAGCTGGTGGGCACAGTATGCCTCTAGTTCCGCTGAGGCCCCTTCTGTCACTGCCACACATAGCTGGGGGAACACAGTCACCTTCATTATTATTTTTCCATTTGTCAATGAGAGTTACAATCACTGGGAACAAATTGCAGCCAGCACAGTAATTACACAAATGAGTCAGAGGCCAGATTATTAGAACAGGTTAAGAGGAAAATTACAGGTGGGTTTAGTTTATAAAACATATTTAACCAACTTATTAACACATCTGACTATTAGCTAAATTATTCACCAGTCCTGCAGTATGAAGCAGCACAGACAACAAGAGAAAAGAAAAGAAAGCTGGGAGACCCGCTTCCGAGTTCCCTCCACCAGATCCTCTGCTCCTTACCTGTGATGCACATAAATCAGCATTTGAATGAAAACATTGTAAAAAAAAAAAAGTATTATGCATATGTGAGATAATCACTCGGGTCATTAATTAACAAATGAGGGCTGGAGACATACCTGTGGCTGCTCTGTTTTCCTGTAAAAGCTTATCGTTTGCATTCTCTTGTCGAACACGTTTGGCAAATCCATGGTTTTCTTCGGCAGTTAACGGATTACTCGATGTACAGCTTGAGGGTGAAAGTCAATTTTTTAGTTAAGCAGTTTTTATAGCTTTAAATTCTAATTCATGCTCTATATGCAACACTGATAAAAACCAGAACTATGAAGTTGTGAGATCTCCGATCTGTCGGGGGCACTGAAGGCATTCTCCACAGGGCGCCTTCTGCAGGGGCACGCAACAGTGCTATCACCAGGCACTTCTGGGTCACTCTGCCGAAATGCAGGGATCACCGCTACTCAAAGTACACAGAGGGCTGTACACAGCCACAAATGGTGAAAAACTAAGCTCTTGTTTATAAGTTTGAAGCAAGAACCCTAATGTGGGGGATTGTAGACAACAGAGGTGATCTGGAAACCCACTGTTGAATCAAAATAGTACTACTTTATACTATCGTAAGTTATTACAATATAGAAACGGAAAAGAATGACGCATTCCCATGTATTGCATCTTCAGAAACCTAAGCAGTCACATGCTGATTAGGGTTAGGGGTCAGATTCTCCTCAATCTGAGGTGACTTATTATTAGACTGCCATTTAAGCTTGGGGCTGAGTAGGGGGAGGGTTCCTCGCTTGTAAACTGATTGAAAACAGCTGATTCGGGGGACTGTTTTTTTGGCTACTAAAGATACTATTTGCCATTTTATAAATGGTGCTGACCTGACAGTGAGCTGCACTGAACTGGAAGTTCCCTTGAATGGCACAACTCACTCTTCCGGCAGCCCCAGTCATGTGTGTGGTGAAGGACGGTGCTCACTGCAAACAACCAGGACTGCCGGGCTCTGAGAACACTGCGTGTGGGAAAAACAACGCACATGCTCTGTCAGAAGTGCAGGCGCGCCTCAACAAGTATGAGTGTTACACAAGGAAACACATTCTACTACAGAAATTCACTCCTAGCTAATCCTACAGTTACTACATTTCTATGTGGATTACTAAACACTGTCCTCGACTTTATTTCTTCAAGTATATAGATCAATATCATTAGTTGCTTTTGATTAAGAGAATACATTTATGATAAAGTTGTCTTTATTATTTTATGGTATGATTCCTTACTTTGGTTAATTCTAGGACCTCACTTTTGACTTGTAAAACATTTGCATTGAAAGTTAATTTTCTAAATAAATCTGCTTGATTAGACCTCATACTTCTAGGAGTAAAATCCAAGTCAAATAAGTTACCATTTATACATAGGTGAAGTACAATGAAACATTTTTTGGATTTAGATAAAAGAGTCTGCTGATGAAATCTTTAGAAGATAAAGTTATAAAATTTAAACTCTGCTAAAGATGATACTGATTAAGAAATCCAAAGATTCTTCCAACTGTGGATGAAATGTATTTCTGTTTTGTTCCCAGGTTGATTAATGAGCAACAGATATCATATTCTTTCAGCTGAAAACAAATTTCTAGTTGGAATGACTAGACAACTAAAAACAACACTAGTAACAACAAAATCAACCAACCAAATAAACACAAACAAGCAGAAACCCAAAACTCTGATCGATATAATTATTTTTTACTTTTTTTGAGACAGGGTCTCACTATGTAGTTCAGACCGCCCTGGAACTCACTATATAGCCCAGTGGTCTCTTTTTACTTTTTTTGAGACAGGGTCTCACTATGTAGTTCAGACCGCCCTGGAACTCACTATATAGCCCAGGCTGGTCTCAAACTCACAGTGATCCTCCTGCCTCAGCCTCCTGAGTGCTGGGATTACAGGTGTGTACCATGACGCCCGGTGCTGATTAATATAAGTAAAAGTTAATGGACATATCACATTTATATATTTAGTAGGCTAATTAACCCCAAAAGTTCTGCTCCAGTGATAGTAAATACATTGTTAAGATTAAAAACTGAATACTCCCAAGGTTTAGTAAGAAAAAACTGGTAAGATTTTGTACTGTACATTGCTTTTAGACTTTTTTCAGAAAGAAAAATGATTATAAAGATGTAAGATACATATACATGAAGACTACTTTTAAAAACAACATACACACACCAAATATATATCTCTACATCTATATATCACTGCTGCTTTGTGGAAAATACCAGTTTATTACTTTCAAGCTCATGTAGCTTTAATTAGAGAAAAGGAAGATTAAAAAAAGCAATTATGTACATTTCTAGTATTAATCTCTTTTAACCTTCCTTAATGGCAGGATCTAATTATTGCTACCAGAGGGAATGTAATAAGAGTAATTAATAGGCTATGAAGAATCAAGTTACTTTCCTTACGTGTCCTTTAATAGTACAATATTAGTTGCCCATGTGAAAGTCCTTTAACTCACCTACAGTTACTCCAAATACACACTTCACACACTTAGTTCCTGAAAAGTCATGTGATTTGATAATGCCTGTTTACATTTGAAGATTATTTTCATCTGTAAATGCCTGCCGCATTTAGTAAATACAACAGAGTAAAGAAACTAAAGAACCCCAAACCTCTCCATCAATGAACAGAATGAATGACCAAACTGACACGACATGAGTTAGTGAGAGTGGATGGAACAGAAGACAGCGGTTAGCTCGGCCTCCTCATGAAGTGACCAAGTCTCATTTGTGAGCAGACTAATTGCGCCATTTGAACCCATGTCTTAGGAAAGTACAGTAGCCCCTCGTTAGCCAGAGTACCACTCCAAGAACACCAGTGGGTAAACAAGAATACTGAACCCAGTATAACCTGTATTTTTTTCCCACTCATTTATAGCTATGATAAACCTTTACCTTTTCTTTAAAGGAAGCAACTTACAGCTTCTCTTTGGCACATTTGAATTGCCAGCATCACTATTCTTTTGCTTCAGGAAAACTGCTAAGTAAAGTAAGAGTCACCTGAACAAGCACTGGGATACCATGGCAGCTGATCCGGTAACTGAGGGCTACTAAGGGGTGGGACAATGGGCCACAGGCTGCAGCAGGATGGAGAGGGACAGTGGAAGATTTCATCATGCCTCTCAGAATGATACGCAACTTGTAAGACTTCTAAACTGCTAATTTCTGGAATTTTCCATTGAATATTTTCAAACCTTACTGAAAGTGAAACCATGAACAAGGGGGCAGGCCTCTGAACAAACCCTTAGATATGTGTACTTGGACATTCAGGAAAAACCAACTCATGGATTTGACATTTAAACATTCTGAGGTTCTGCTGTCCTTGGGTTCTGAGGGTAAAGGCAGACCCTAAGTTCTCAAGTGGAAGATGTGCTACAGAGCATGGATATGGACTGCGAATGGCAGAGTAGTCCCTCTGACAACAGGTCCATGATAGAAAACAGTAAGTTAAAAAAAGACTTAAGGTCTTATGCTGTCTGCCCATGGTAGTGTGGCAAAGAAAAGAAAGAAAAGTCAGATCCATTTTAGTTACTCTGTGCATTTTGTCACCGTGTTCATTTTGTAGAAAATAAAGAACGGTGATGAAATTCAGACCATGTAACTCCGAATATCCTTCGGACTCTCGCTGTTGTGTTGCTGTGCAATGAGGTATGTTTGTGTTAGTCCTGTACATAATTTGCAGCGTCAATGTATGATTTGTCTTTGACCAGTTTTCAGAAACCAGCAGCCATCATCTGCTCAAACGCTGTTTTTGCACATTGCTTCTCTCGCTTCTCCAGACCCTCAATCCACACATTCCAGACCTCTGTGCTTGTGCCCCGTCTTTCCCACTTCTTTCTATATTCTCCACTTATTCTTTTGTGCATGGGAACAAACTGTTAAATGAGTCAAATGGATATTCTAGAACCGAAAGGGTAGAATTTACTGCAATTAAAACTCAGTAACTCAATTTGAGAGAATGCAGTTCTTTATCCAATTTTCTGTTACCCACTTTGCTGAAATTAATCACATTTAAAAATCTAAAACTGTTATCAAATAACGTCAGGCCCCAACTTACGAACAAGTTCTGTTCTGGGAGAACAATCCTAAGTTGAATTTGTTCATGAGTCTGACAAAGTCAGCCTTATACACCTTTGACACAAATATACAGCATGAAGCATAAAAAACCCCCAAAACACACACAAATATAGTGAGTCCCCGACTGTATTGTACCCCTGAACACTACCCCACTGTAAACACAGCAGCACAGCTGTGGCCACATCCGGCACACACGGGAGATACTTCCATGACTTGTTTACATCCCAGAATGTTCCCAATTCTAGGTCTGCTTGTATTTGTGAAAGTTTGAAGCTCACACGTTTGTAGGTCAGGAACTTTCTGTAATCCCAAGATCTGAGGCATGAATGGATCACTGCTTCTCTAATTTTTCCTTATTGATTTGTAGTCATTTGATCATGTCTCTTGGCATACTCAGCATAGCCACGCAAGGATGGCAAATAAACTGCGGGCTGTTTGACAGAGCCTCTTCAGTCAGGCTTCCTGAACTGCACATTTTGTATCCCACCTCCAACAGAATGTCAGAGTGCTGCTTAGTACTGTGGCCCCTCAGTAGCTACTTTCAGCTTGGTTTCTTGGTCACTTAGTCTAGAGTTTAGAAACTGGCAAACTGAGGGCAAAAGTTGCATGGATGTGTTTGTTTTCCTAGCTCAGTTGAGTACTGAGAACCGTAAGCTTCTGGCTGCAGCCACCCTATGCCACGCATGGAGAAGAGGTGGAGAAGCCTGCTCTCCATTCGCCCGTTCTCTGGGGTCTTAGACCCTCAGGTCCTGGTTGCTTCAGGTGTTTCCCAGAGTCTCCAATTGGCCGTTAACTGTACTTCATCCACCGGGATGGCTCGGTCTGATATAACCACACTGAAACAGTAGACTCCTTATTTCACTGCATTACTGTCATTTATCACAATCCACTGAAATATGATTCTAGAAATTCAGTCGTGTTTAAAAGGACAAATAACTAAATGAGTAAAAAATTGGCACCAGAAGAAAAATTAAAACTCAGTGACATTTGGAAAGCTAGAAGACTTTTCAATTTATTTTTAATAATCTAAAAGACAGAATACTTTATGTAAATATCAAGTGAAATACATGGGCTTCAAGAGCTCCCAGAGATAACGTAAGTGCAGTGCCTCCTTACAGTGATTTACCCTAAGTATGCTTAAATATGAATTCTCGATTTAATGACAAGATATAAAAAGCGCTGTAGGGAAGAAGGGCACGAAGCCGAGGGAGGCGGGTTACGGTGTGTGCCGTACCTTGCCAGTTTCCGTTTCTTCGTAGCAGCAGCAGTCATCGCCATGTAAGATGGCACTGAGCTTGACACAGGCCCTGGGTGAGTGGATGAGAGCGAAGAAGGGCCCAGCCTGTTGTGAAAAAAGTTAAAATACAAAGAAGAGTAACTGCTTTATACTACAGAGACAAGAGGCACAGATATCCCCGAAAGTACTGCACAATGGGAGAGGAAAATGCAGAGGTATTTTCTGTGCTATGTAATTTCCCTTGCTCGTGCTAGGGCTGTGTGTCTCGCACGCAGCACAGGTGGAGGGGCTGCTCCCCACAGCATGGGAGGGCATGGTCATGGAGGGGCGCCTGCTTGGATGGCTCAGATGCACGGCTGCTCCACAGCGAGCCGAGCCGGGCCATGGCAGAGGAACCTGGGATCTCCCGCAGGAGAAACACCACTGTGGAAGGACAGCAGTGAGTGTCTGGGCTGCAGAACTGCAGTGAGCACAGATCACACTTCATCTTACAGTCTCTGACTGGAGGTCAAGTGACTGAAGATAGCAAATCCATGACTTCTGGTGGATTTACACTCGGGAAGGTAAGACTTCATGGAAACAAAATACTGCCTTGTCATCAAGGTATACACTGGGTCTAAGACATAAACTAAATATAGCTAAAGAAGAAAAAGGAAAACAAGTTTAAGGGATGCGTTGAAAAACAGAAAAAACCAAACCAAACTAAACCAAGAACTGGTGACATTCTCTTTTCCTACCTTTCTAAAATGTTTTTGTTTGGTAGCGATTCCTGTTCCGGTAATTTATGCTTCAGGGCCCTGTTGTCCTCACATGTAGTAAAGGGCTCTGTATTGCCCTGTCCACGAGTCACTCTGCTGTGAAGAGGGCTGACCACCTCGACCAACGTTCGCAGAGAAATACCACTGCTCCCATGGGAGGCGCCAGCCTGGATGCCTGCAGGATGCGAGGGCAGCTTTATCCAGGGCCGTGGAGATGGACCCGGAACAGTTCTCCTGCAGTTCTCGGGCGTGTACACAATAGGCTGAAGTTCTCTGGTCAGGGAGTCATTCAGCGGGACACTTTCAGACGGAGTCGGCTTCTCAGTAGGCTTTACTGTCAGGGGAGAAGGCATTAGTTTTCTCCGAGTTCTTTTGTGCAGAGGAATTTTAAGCAGATTCGGTTCACTTGAAGATGTGCCTGTTCAATAAAATAAAAAAGTTCAATACTATTGCCTACTTTGTCAATAATCCCATTAAAAATTACTAATGATATAGTACTTTTCTGCCAACAGAGAGAAATCTGAAAGAAAAAAATCGGAAGAGAAGAAAACATGGTTTACTGTTAAGAACTTAAAGTTAATTTTATAATAAAAAAAAATACTAATGCTAATATCAATACCAATTTATAATAACTATCTCGAGACACTGACAAATCATGAAAACAACTTTCCAAACCAGGTCTACCAATACACAAGTAATTTCCAGCTTTCATACTGGACTTGCGTGTCAGACCACGAAACAGCCCTTAGCCTTTGTAGGCAGGAGGATGCTGTCCTCCCGTGGGGTACCACCCGTTCATCACCAGCTGGGCGGAAGTCCAGTCGACGCCAACAGGAATGGCAGTAACCAGGCTACAAAGACTGCTCGGCTAATTCGGCGTTCTGGATGCTGGGTTGGCTCCCGTATCCGACATAACTCAAGAGATTTACAAAAAAGCCTTACATTTAATACCAAAAGTCAATGAGCATAATCGTAAGAGTTCAGGGTATTCTGACTCTTCTCCCACTATAAAAGCGTGCTTCCCAAATGTCACGAGAACCTCTTCTCCACCCGATCCTCCAGCCTGGGCGGCTGTTCACTCATCTCCCACTCCTTCTCGAGCATGCTACTCTTCTTCCTGCACCCAGGAAATGCATACGCCTCTCTAAGGAGTTACTCGCCCTCGAATCTGCATTTTCTCTTATTTCTTTTTACCACTACTTGCTCTTTTGAGGCAGGGTCTTACTGTGTAGCCCAGGCTGGCCTTGAAACCGCAGCCATCTTCCTGCCTCAGCCTCTTGAGTGCTGGGATTACCGGTGTATGCCACCGCAACCAGCTAGCACTACTTTATATTAACTATAGTTTTTAAAACCTCTTTCTTTTCCTCTGAATTATGAGCTCTATGAATCCCACCTCCCTTAGATATGTAGTTAAAACATAACACTGTCATTCTCATTCAAGCCTTTCAGTAACCCTTAACATAAACATAATATCCAGAGATTTTAGTAAAAGAATTTAGCCCTTGCTCTAAAATTAAGAATAAATTGTTTTGTTAGAAAGAACTTAAGGGCCGGGGATTTAGCTCAGTGGTTCAGTGGCCTGCCTTGGAAGCGCAAGGACCCGAGTTCAATCCCCGGTACAAAAAAACAAAAACAAAAACAAAAACAAAAAAACTTAAGTTTGGATTCCTATAATACTAGACACACTTCAAATATTTAAGAACACAAACATCTAATGCCTTTTATCAATGCCTCAAAGAACACACCAACTACATGTGACAATGTCCTTCAGCAGCCCTGCTGTGGGGGACTTGGTGACTGATGTGTCTCCTGCTGTTTACTTCATGGTGACTGACAGGAAGTCATGGTGACTGACAGGAAGTACCTTCGCTTGGAGGAGACTGCCCATCAAAGAAACTAGAATGTATTACTTCTGTCCAAGTTTTCAAATCATTAAATTGGGAACCACTAAAATTCCCACATGATGTTCCATTCGCTTTACTATGAAATGCTAACTTAAACGGAATAAGTCTGACATATTTCAATAAAGCAATTCAAATTTTCAACCAAGTCAAAACACATGCATCGCAGTCACCAACAGTATGTGCATCCTTCTTGTTATGTTAGTTGACGATAGGCTCTGAGATGGCTAGGCTGACAATTACCCTCTAGGAAATACAATTTAAAAACAGGAAGAAAAACATGATCCCTGTTCTACTAAGGAATTTTACTTTTCTGAGAACTAGATAAATGAGACCTAGATCTTAAAATAATTTTCCACTCCCTTTAACATGACATTTGTCAAATTTTCCATTACCAGATATTTTTATACTAATGCTGCAGTGTAAAGTCAGTTACTTTTCTCCACTGTGCTGCTACCACCAATTTGGTGGCTATTAATAGCTGGAAGATTAACTTCTTTTCCCACGAGAGGCAGCAGGGTATAGAGGATAGAAAACTATATCGAGGATAGAGAACTGAATTGGGAGTCAGGAGACTCGAATTCTATTTCTGGCTTTACTAGCGACTCACTTAGTGACCTTGGGCAACTCACCTAAAGCAGTGTGGGCATTCGTCCCCCTAGTAAAATAAGGGACACTGTGTTTTTATGGACAGGGAATTTTCTAGGATTGGATGACAGAAATACTTACGGTTCAAAGAAAGTCTATAAATAGAAATATGCTTCAACTGTTAGCATTACTACTTTCACGGGGATGGTAATTTGCTTTCCAATAACCCATCAATAACTAACTTATAAGACTCTCTGAAACAGTACATTTCAAACAGTGTCTGACCTTCAGTGGCTCAAACAACCAGTTTATCAAGGGTGATCATAAATTACGATATAAACCAAATTATTGTTAAAATAAGCACGTGTAAATGTCATCTGTAAATGCAGGTTTTATAACAAACACTCAAGAGTTTAGAACAAAATAGAGCATGAAAAGGCTGGGGATTTTTAGCTCAGTGGTGCTACCGCCTGCCTCACAACTGCAAGGTCCTGAGTTCCATTCCCAGTACCCACCCCACGAAAAAACTTAACAAAGTAGAGCAAGAAGGCTGAAGGAGTAAGGTTCACCCAGAGTCCCCACTGCTTTTGTGCACATCTAGAAGGACAGTCGGGTTGGGTGGGGTTGGGGAACCAGCTGGAGTCCCAGTGTGTGGATCAACTTTTCCCTCTAGCACGGAACAAGGTAGTGGAAATCTTCCCATGAGACATGGAGAAATAACCACTGTCCTCCAGGATATCCTAACCACACACCCTATAACCAGTTCAAGATGGTCATGCTAACAACCTGTGGGTGGAAGAGGCAGTCTGTCACAGTGGACACACTCAGCCAGTCTCTCTGTCCTCCAGGAGGCACTGTGGGGGAAAGCCGGGATGCGGTAGGGAACATGGACAAACCCATCACCACTTTATTGGGCTTAGAAGAGGACATGCTATCCATATACAGTACATACAGTACACAAATCTAAGAGGTTTTTTTAAAAAAATCCTTTTTAATCCTCTTAATTATTCAGTTCAAAACAATAATATGAAGAGAGCAAAAGGCCAATTCAGGACTACCTAAGGCTGACTAGTTGCTAAGAAAGGTTCAGGAAATGACCAGAGGGAAAAAATATGATGTAAAGATTCAGGTAAAAATTAAAATCAATCCACTGTAACTAGCATAAAAGGATAACTGCTCCACTTGTTAGTTTTTCTTTTATATTACTGTATGTTTACAGTTCTTGTGTGGTCTTGGTACACGTATGTAACACATCTAAATACCTTTCTTTTCATCCTAAAACATAAAATAACCACTGGACATTTTACTTTGAATGTGATTCCTAGAATATACAAACTAATGGATAGGTTAGATCTATGTCTATTAGCAGATGTGCTGTACTTTTCCATCAGAGAAAAAGGGTGCACAGTAAATTTCCAGAGGAGCAGGCTTGGGGTAGTTGTCCGGATTCCCGACTCAGCTTGGGAAAACAATCTAATGAGACTCCGTAACTCTTGGGCCTAGAGAGCAGAATGATAAAGAAGGAAGCTGGAGATAAATTACAATCCCTTTGGAAAGTTCTTGAAGGGAATCAAACACAGTTGCAGGCTCAGAACAAGAGACCCTGACAGAAGAAGATAACCAAGGAATGACCCTAGTGATGTGACTGCTGCACAGGTGGGGGTAGGGAATTACAGATGCATTCTTAATCTGGGCTAGAGCAGACTGGCAGCCAGTGAGAGGACAACAGGTGTTCCCTACTGGGGAAGGAAGTAGTTTACTGCACCATGCAGTGTAGGAGGCAGGGGGAGCAATGTGCCTCATAGCTTCTGATTTTGCTGTTTCTAGATCATCTTTTTGGGACTTTAACTCTCCCACACAGTGTAGATGTACTACATTTCTACTGCCTTGAGACAGTTATGACCCACGGGATGTAAGTGATAATAAGATTAATATTAAGACATTTACAGGAAAAAGTTACCGTTAGTATTTTTAATCTTGGATGACTGTCTTATTTATGAAAGAAAAAAAAAGCTGTAGTCAGCTACACAGCACAGACAACAATCTAAGAGGACTGCACCTTCGTAAAGAATCACACCAGGCATGTTACAGGTGCACACCTGTAACTCCAGCTACTCAAGAGGCTGAGAAACACACAATGTCTGTCCATGGTTAGCATAGACTCACTTTTCTCCCCAAATAGTTTTTGATTCCAGGTTGATGAACCAACTGTGTACTAATTCTCACAAGTGAGTTAATAGAAACTGACAACTCCCTGAAGTCACAAGCCCTGCATGTGTGTTATTACTCTGGACCTGGTGGTTCTCGTTCTGAGAGTCCCCTGCCAGCCCTGTGCACCAGGTTTGAGTTCCTGTGCTCTCCTTGTAAGCTCTGCTCCAACTAACCGCAGACATCAGGGGTCTGCATCTCTCCCTCTCTAGTTGAATGCTCATGGGCTGCAGAAGCTCTCTGGGGTTTGAGGAAGTGATTTCCTCCTCAGAGAGGGTATAGGTTGTAACTATCACACGAAAGCAGAGAAAGGGAAAGAATGGGAGTAAGGATGAGGAGATGGTGCCAGAACAAGAGTGGCAGACGGAGGAGAAACTGAAAATGAACCTTTGCCTCTAGGCCTTCCAAGGTCCAAGGACCAAGGACCAAGGACCAAGGAGGGTGAGAATGAAGTCAGCAGAATGAGGTGGAAGAGACATCTATCTTTCGGTTCTCGAAAACATCATCTCTAGAACAGATTTATCTCCTGATTTTGACACAGATACACTATGACTTCAGATACAAGGACTAACTACTATACCCCCAATATCTTGGAAATTACTGGATTCAGTTCTTTAATGTTGCTAGTAGAATATCACCTGCACCCACAAATAGCAAAGGACTTTCTGAAGGTACTGTGCAGCTAGGACTTGAAGCTAGCAAGGCACAAAGGAGAGTGACT